AAAAAAAAAAAAAAAAGAAATAGAATAGCATTAAGACATTGTTATTCTGAATGCACCTGGAAACAAACTGGGCCACATGTAGAGCACCTGCAATATTGTCCTCTTGTCAAGCCAGCTGTACTGGGGCCCAAGGGCTTCCTTTGCTTCCAGAAGAACATTGGTTAATTTATTTCCCAGTCTTTAGTTCTTTCTCTCTCTCTCCTGCTTAGCTTTTTTTTTTTTTTTTTTTTTTTTTTTTTTTTTTTCCTGGCAGTATGCTTTTAATAAAATGCTGCCCATGGCAATTTTTCCCTCTGGCCACAAAGATGGAGTGATTTCAGTTCCAGACTGTCTGCCTGTTCCTGAATGCAGTTTAGCTGCCTTTGTGCTGCTTATTACTTGGCAAACACTCCTGCAAGTCGGTGCACACCATGTGCGTGTTGAGAAGGCTCTTGCTGTGGGGGCGATGGCAAACATTTGAGTCTCAGCCTGGGTCAACATAAATGATGCACCTCATTGCAGGATTTTGGTGCTTGGTTATTCTTTTTCTTTCAGACACCTGTGTCCTGCTGGGTAACATTTCCCAGCACAGCCCACAAGACTCAGTTGGCCTGAGCCCTGCCCCAGCCTGGTCATCTGGACCCCGTTTCCTCTCCATGCCTTGACCTGCTGCTCTCACTTGTTTTTGACCTCTGCATGCTGAATGGCATTGCTCATGGGCAGAAAGCTCAAGACAGGCGGTTTGTTAAAATAAAGCCAAATTGTGAGGCTCTTGAGAGAACCAAGCCCAGAAAATAGATTTTAAATGCTTGACTAATCAATGCTTTGAGCACAATCTAATCACTTCATGAAGAGGCAAAGGCAAAAGGCAACTCATAAATTATCTGTTGTGAATTATTTGCTCAGCTGTAATGCTGGTAAAACAATCTCTTCAGACAGTTTCATTTAGGTAGCTAAACTCTTAAAAACATTAGACAGTCACCTGATCAAGTTTGGCATGATTAAACCCTCACTGCTGAATGTCTCTCTTGCAAAGACGTTGCCATGTGAAACCAGGGAGAGCAAAGATCCCTGGCATTTCTTCTGACCCTGTCCTGTGTCACAGGGGAGAGCACTCACAACTGAAAATGCTTCTTCTCTTTCTCCTCTGCTGCAGCAAAGATTGTCTGTAGAAGAAGAAATAAAAAGCAATTCACCTTACTCTTTGTTGCCTCATCCATGGCTTCAAACCCAGGCTGCCAGCAGCCCCTCCCAACCACTCCTCCAGCACCTTCAGATGTCCAGCAAGGGCTGCACAGTGACCTCCCTCTGCTTCCACTTTTAGATCAGGGTGCTGGTCTTTCTCTCACGAAAACTCCCCTCCCTGCTTGTATCTCAGAAAAAAAACCTGCAGCAGACATTGCACGACCTCCCAAAGGACACCTCACCATTGTTTCTGATCAATCTGGAGCTGTGCCCTTCCTCCTTGCACCCCTCTATGCCTCAGCCTCATCTTTACCGCAGCAGAGACTGCCCTGCCCAGGGCAGTCCTCCAGAAACAGCCCCTGAGCAAGCAACCCCACTGCATCCCCCTGTTTAACACACTGCCCCTGGCTCCCTTAGGGCAGGAGCCATACAGAGGAAGCAAAGCCCAAGAGAACCACACATCAGATGTGTATCTAACGGGCTTGCACAGACATAGTGATGAGGTTTCTAGCCAGGTTTGCTGTCTTTCTGCTCCCATGAGTGGTTTCATGAGGCTCCCTGGACCACAATTGTCTTCTTCTCTTTCTGAAGGATCAGACAACCACATAATCTGCTCCTGGTATCCCAGTCTGCTGAGATGAAGCTTTCATCAGTTTGTAATACACATGAGCAACTTGCATTAGGCATCCCAGCCTCATCCTTGACTCTCAACCCCCTCCCCATGAATCCCAGGTGCTGAGCCAGGAATGAAAACAGTCCTATAACATTTCCAGCCCGGCTGGAGAGGGGTTTCTGTATTTTTACAGTTCAGCCACCTGTCAGTGTAACATAAGGTTCTCTGAAATGTCCCAGTTTTTACAGAGTGCTTCAGCCACCAGCTGGCAGT